TTTTGACATTTTTGGTAAAAAATGATATTTTCGACTTCTTGTTAAAAACTGCAAGTCCAATTGCTCTGATAATACATATATAGGTACTACATGTGGACCTTTTTCAGATTTGTTCATTTTGTAATGATATCTTCAATTCTCTAATTTTGGTGAATATTTTTGTCATTTTTGGTAGAAAGTGATATTTTCGACTTGTTAAAAACTGCAAGTCCGATTGCTTTGATACTCTACATATTGTTCATTTTCTAATGATGTCTTCAGTTCTTTAATTGAAATGTGCATTGCTATCAGCGGAGCTATCTCAGCCGATAGGCTGCTTGTTTTGTTTTATGTAGACATTATAAAATTCTGTCATGCATTGATATTTTTAATTATTCGGGCGCTCACTATTCATCGCACACTCTGAAAATGTTTGACGTCTGGTTGGTAAGACGAATTACATAAACTAGATGAGTATAGCAAAATGGCGATGAATGGCTACAAATCAAGAGTCAGGTGTGCATCACTGTCCAAATCCTAAAAGGATTCTTTAATTTGTCAATTAGAAAATCATGTGTATATATTGGTCACTTAATTGACACCACAAGATGGTAAAAACCAGAAGACACTGGGCACATAATCAACATATTCAATGACCTCATTATCAATGCATCACTATCATATCTGAAACACTATATAGATGTTCAACCTGTGCTTGTAATATAGGTACCAGGGGATCTGTCATCTGTAATGGCTTGCTTGTTTCACATGTCAAGAGGCTGTCATTGAAACACAATACAGTTTTAATATATGCTGCACTTCATTTTCATAATACTAACCTAAATACTTTTCTTTAGACCTTCATTAACAGTAAAGCAAGGATTATATTTGTATTTCACACTTAGTTATAATTCTCACAGTTTGCTTGTATTTTCTTTTATTTCCAGCGCTGGTTGCGACAAGCAATGAGTGAAACCTCTTCGGATTCACCCAATAAATCAGTTCCTGACTGTATATCACCAGTGTGTTTCAATGGTGCACTGAGTCCTACTGCCATTAGTAATCCTGCATACAGTCCTGCCATGTCACCCAATAGTTCATCAGCTGTTGGTAAGTTGTGTGTTTACTCATGGGTACTTTTACTGTTCTTCGTATAGTTTTGATACTGTAATCAGTGTGGTTCATCTCCAGCACTGCTAACTGACCTGTAGTTTACACTGAACTGCCATTTGCTTTACCCTAGACTTGGTTAGTGAACAGCACACTGATTGGACATAAGTATTCACGGGGAGGAGTGTGGCGGCCTGTATGAGTTACAGCAAGTCAGTGATCAAACTTTAGACTAACTCTTTTATTCCTTGTGTAGATTTCATGACTCCTTTGAAGAAAAGGCGGCTCCGAGCATCTATCGCTGCAGAAGAAGTTGTCACAACAACCATCACATCAGCACCACTGACACCAACAGCAACACCCCCAGCATCTTCTACACCCCCAGCATCTTCTACACCCCCACCTCCTTTGGTTTCTTCAAGTGATTCATATTCTCACATCCTGCGAACACCTTCTCCTAAGTCCATGATGTCAACTGAGGATAAAAGGAATGGATATAAACCATTGCTATCACCAATAACCCCTGTCACACCTGTGTCTCAAGTACGCTATGAGGTGAGTCTTTTGACTATAATTGGCATGTTCAGCTGTATGTTGTCACTCATTCTGTATATAAGTGAGTAATCAACCTATACTGTGTCCATCAATCTGCATGATAATCGATATCATGCCAAAGTATTGACCTTTGTGTGTCTTTTTTTTTTTTTCCGTCTTTTGTGTGTAGCCAATTTCCTCTCCTGATACCACGCCAGAGGTCAACAAGTACCAATCACCATTTCCATTCCCTCCTCCTTTCAAGAAGGTTAGCTGCTTTATTTTTTTCACTTTCTTTGGCTCGACATCACAGTAAGAGCTAATCAGTTCTTCAATGCATGGTGTTGTGGGTTTTCCACTGGGTACTTGAACAGTACTCCTAGTGTAGCATTCATTTCAGCTTACATTGTTAGGGATTGGCTTATAAAAGATAAGGTGGTGGGTTTTTTTAGGCTAGTTTCAAACCTGGTGCACGCATGTTTTCTCTCTCACATTGCATCTTCCATTCCTAATGCCCTTTGACATTTCTGTCTTTCTTTCCCTCTTTTTCAATTCTGTTATCTCAGCTATGCACTTTTCACTTTTCTATAGTAGCAAAGAATAAAGCCGCCATTCATGAGTAACTTTCCATTCTGGTGTTGGTGAAGGAGACTCTATATCAAATTGCCCACATGAGGTCTTGGTATTAACACTTTTGTTGTGTTTCAGGAATTAGCCAAGCAGATATCGGCTGACAGTGGATTCTCTGGCACACCGACAGACTGCACGCTATCACCAGCCACACCTCTTGTTACACCAAGGAAATCTTTTGACTGTACAGACTCTTCAAAAACTGAAATATCAGCACTGACTGAAACTAGAGATAGAGACTCTGCAAGTAATATTTTTAATGTAAACTCTAATGTTGATGATAACGATATCCATGTGGGGTATGTAATGACTACTCCCAGGACTAGTAACATAGAGAGTAATGTCTCTACGTCAACTGAACATGTGGAAATGACCATATTTAATTCAGAGCCAAAGGTTTTGGACTCGAGTATAAAATCTAGTGTAGTAGCGGTGCCCAATGAGGGGGCTATACAACTAGACCAAGTTGACCAAACGGAAAGGGTTGAACAGGAAAAGAAAGGGAATGTGATTTCTTCACTGTCAGACCCTAGGACGTCATTACTAAGAGCACGGAACTTATCCACGGCACTGATTAGCAGTGCCAGTGAACCAGATTTGCAAAAGTCAGTGCAAAGCATTGTGAACTTTAAGCAGTCTGATTCCACAGTTGATGTGGAACGCGATAGTGGTAAGATGACATCAGCTGCAGCTGTGGTGGTACCACACAACAGTATATCAAGAAATGAAGGGGTTACATTGCAACCCAAAGGAGCAAATTTTTCAACAAGGACAAACTTTTATCCACGGCATATGGATCGGTTCTCGAACTCGTACAGGTCTCGTCGGAACTCTGGTCCCGCCGACAGTAGGACAGGAGATTTTGGCATGTGGTCATCGTCTCATAATCCATTTGCCGAGGATCATGTGAAATTCAGTGAATCTGGGCTGTACACTTCATTTACATCACCTCCTAAACTCTACATACCGGCAGCTCGAAATGCTCGCACATTTGATTTCAGTAAAATTCCATCCAAGACCAACTTCTATGTTACAGAATCACCTGTGATAAGTTCATCAACAAATATTGTGTGCAAGCCGGCAAGGAATGTTGAGACCCCAGATTGCAAGAGTAATGTAGACACGGAGGATACAACTAAAAACCATATTGATGTTGTTGATGATACATCCGTTATGAGCACCAGTAGTTTGATATCAAGCTCTTCTTCAAGTAGTGTGAGCAGCAGCCCAATTGTGACGTTCTCTTCATCGAGTGTCGCGAGTAGCCCTGTAACCTGCTCTCCATCGACGAGTAGCCCTGTTACGGAATCACGGAATGTGAATACCAGTCCTGTGATCAGTATGCCGATAGCTGTTGTATCAAGTGGCCAAAGTAACGCCCTTCCTCCAAGTGCTGGAGTCGAAAGTTCTGTTCGATTGCCATCTTCGGAAGCAACTGAAAACCAACAACCTGATAGCAGGCTTGTTGTCCCTAGTACAACAGCAAATGTTAACGATACTCAGTCATTTTGTGGTCCCGTAGCTGACAGTCCTGTTAGAGTTGTGTCCTCTGTTTGTGCGCCCAGTAGCTCGCCAACAACTAGTGTGTCGAGCAGTACATCTAGCGATGGTTTTCCACCATCTGGAACATTGCCGTTGATTGTGTCACCATCTGAAAGGCCAGCAGTGACAAGCACACCACCATCTACACCTCCTGTTAAGCGAAAGGTTCGTCAGACGAATTCATTGTCTATTAGTAGTAGTAGTTCCAAAGTTGTCAAATTCCTGTGTGTCGGTTTTGGTGATACTCAGGGCCAATGCTTTGGTATATTAACAGATTAATTCTTCAACATTGGTGAAATATTTGTTATCACTGATGTAGTCAGTAACAATCAACATAATATGCCTGTGTCTGATAACTAAAATTCTATAAAACCCTTGATAGAAAGTCCAAATCTGTTTTTGTTTTCAATAAAACTTTTCGTTACCGATCACAGGCCATAACTTTCAGGAATGGTTTGCCAAAAAAAAGCTCTCCTGAACGCAGTATGAGAGCTCTGCTATTAAAATTTTTCAAATTGAGAATTGTGGAGATTGATTTGAGCAAGTGATTAGACGAAATGTTTGAGGTGTTGTTTCGATACTAATTCGCTGAACTGTTCTCTTAAACAGGTTTCCCTGCTTGAGTATAGGAAGCGACGAAAAGAACGCTCGACTGCAACCAGTACATCTGTAACACCCAGTAGTAAATCTTGTGATGTCACACCGACTCAAAGCCAAGCTAAGCCAATTCCCAGCCTGGCCACTCTGCCGCTGTTTGTTGGCTCAACTGATGATAGGAAGACACCACCTCCAGGAATACTGGTTAATAAGATACACACTTCCTCTATTCTGAAGTGTAAAGAGAAGATAAGTGAACAGGACGTGCAATGGTAAGTAAATCTTTTCAAAATATCTTGTCTCTCTTCCTTATTATAACAGGCCATTTCTCTGTTCACTGCGAGATCCCACATTATGTGTGAAATCCAACGTAAACACAGGACATACAAGTCAAAGGTATTTTGGTGCATTTCCACCTAATACTCATTTAATGACAGTGAATTTTGATGAAGGCCATATTCCCTTTGAAAGATGGGCATTTCTAAAGCAACTCATTAAATTTTTTGTGGCAGCCATTCGATTCACCCCTTTTCATGCATTGGCAGTGAACAAAAATAAAAGTTTTTTTTTTTTTATATTTTACTCCAAAATTCTGTGTACATAGCACAATGTATATCATCAAATTATTCAATAACAATTGTCAACAGTGATTTGGTTACAATGGTTAGCTACAATACTGCAAAGAAAGTCGGTAAAGCATGAAATAAGAGTGCTGTCACTGACATTATGTTAATGAATGAAAGAGACAGTTCCTCATTGTATAGGATGGTTATTGCAGGAAATCGCCGGTACTGGAGAAACTCAAAGAGGATCCGTTAGACAGATTGCGGAGAGATCTTGATGATAGAAATGTTAAGGAACAAGAAAGAAGGGATTCCAATGGAGGAAAGCACAAGGAAGAGACTGGAAGATCTCCTTTGAAAAGGTCGACTTCTCCGTTGCCTCCACCTCCGCCACCTTTGAAAATAAAGAAAGCCAAGTCTGGATTGAAGCTTCAAATGCCCCCTCCACCACCACCTAAACAAGGAGTTCTTGGTATGTTACATTTCTATCAAACAAAATTATATCAAGCTGTGCAGCAGCACCTTATTGCTGAGAAACAAAACTATAATTTTACAATTCTTGCACATCTGTTGAAATCAATTCAAGTTTTTGGTGATGATGAGAGAAGTGTCTGTAAGGTTATTGTTTTCGGGGCATTTCCCAATTATTACAGTTCAGTTGAATTGCCATGAAAAGCTTTTTGTGGTCAATCTAATACAATATAAGACAAAGTAAAAACAATCTAATTTAATTCTCATTTGCAGTGTTTTACTAAGAAAAGTAGCATGAATGTTAATTTGCATAATTACTTCATGTTAATCACCTCTATTGTATTCATTGGCCTTCAAAGTGGGCTCTATTGTTTATCACAAATCATGGAGTTGTTGTCCTGAATTTATGTCTTGGACGTTACCACTATTTATTTAAATACTCGACTGAAAATAACAGTGACAACATTTTTTTTGGTGGCAGTTCCAAAGCCGTCAAATTCCTGTGTGTCTGTTTAGGTGATACTCAGGGCCAATGCTTTGGTATATTAAAAGATTGATTCCTTGATGACGGTGGACTACTATAAATTATTCACACCAACTCAGATGGTGACAATCTTACATAACAGCATCATTTATGAAAACTTTCCCAAAACTTGTTATTTTATGAAATCCCACCTTTTACTGTTACATTTACGTTACATTTTTTTTCCCCCAGCAGGAGATGTCAAAGAAATCATCCCAAACGTAAAACCCAGTGTAATAAGAGGAGCACATTTCACCCAGGTTAGTAGTTATAATATTATGTTATAATTAGCAGTCGAGCTGTGGTCAGGGAAAAAATTTGAAGGACATCACCTACCATTCCCACCTCCAAAGTTTTATTTGGAGTAGTCCATTCTACCTTGGCCGTCAAAGGTCTTGGTGAAAGACTTGTCTTGACTACATGACAATGTCTCTTTTGCCTTGACATTGTTTAACTTGGATTTTTATCCATATCTATTGCCAAACTATCTGTTTTGGCTGTTTCTGCCATCTTCTCGCTCTTTCTAACAAGTAATCATTGTTTTGTTTTTCACATCATCACCAACAGCCACAGCCGCCACCACCACCTCCTCAGCAAGTACAAATACATTCACAAGTTCAACAGTCTGTGCCGCAACAGCAGTTCACTCCACCTTTCCAGCAGCCTGTTCAATCAACGCAACAATCACAACCATACCAATTTCAACAGCAGTATCAGTACCAGCAGCAACCACCCCCTCAATCACAGCAGCAACAGTTGCCAGTGCAGCAGCAACAGTTGCCAGCACAGCAGCAACCACAATTACCAATCCAGCAGGAACCATACCCTCAGCAACAGTATAGTTACAATGGTTATGGGCAGGGGTTTACTGAACAAAAATATCAACCACAACCGCAACCCCAGTATTACCAACAACAACCACAGGCACAGCAATACCAGCAGTCTACTACGGCTACTGCATCAGCTCCATACCAACAACAATATTCGCAGCAGCCAACAGTACAGCCGACTCAACCAGTGGTGCAGCAACATCAGCAGCCTGTGTATCAACAATCTTATCAAGGGTACGGACAACAACAACAACAACAGCAGCAGCAGCAGCAACAACAACAACAACAACAACCTTATACTGGCTACACTCAGAACAGCAGCTACTACAACCAACCATAGCTAGTACTGCATAAATCAGCAAGGTGGCAACATTTAAAAAAAACTAATGTGTACTGGAAAGAAGTGATTATTCTCTGATTATTATATTGTATCAGAAAACTTGTATATTTGCTGTAAATGTGATGCTTTATGTGCTTTTTTTTTTAATTTGTGCTTTTTTTTGAGATTATATACGTAGAGCTATGTTTATATAACTATGATATCTATCCACAGCTGTATTATAAAAAGAGATTTATATTGGAATAGTTTGTCTGCATATTATAATGGTAATTGTACGTATTAGAAAGTAGACGATAGTTATAATTTCTTTTAATGGTTATCTACATTTTGTTAGTATATTTAGTATGCCATTGAGAATTCACCTGTATATATTGTCACTCACTTTGCTGTATCATACTACTTTCTCATTTTGTATTGGGAAGTTGTTTGTATTGTCCCGTTAGAAAACGTACAAGAAAAAAAAAGTAATACTTGTTTAAATGTGATCTTTGTATGTGTTGTCTTGAAATCCTAAATTTGTGAATTCCGTTTTCTAACTGTTTTACTTGATTCAATTTAAGCTGTACTGTTTATGGTTTAACTCCCACCTCCCATCTTCAAACTTTTCTTCATCTCTTCTTTTCTGTCGAGTACATTGACTTTCTTGTCATGCACCAATTTGATGTTCCCTTTGGATAAGTTACCTGTATGTCGAGTCTTGTTTTCTGAAAGTAAGGCGACTATTTTCACTCCTACTCTAACCCATCTAATGGCGACAACGCCTCCTCAATTTGGCATGGCTGGCATGTTTCAAAATTTAGTGGACGTTTTCCTTATATATAGAATATATATATATATTAGATGTATTCAGTCTGGCCGTGCAGTATTGAGGAGTAGTCTCTCCATGCCGAGTTTTACTTCGTCTGTCACTTCTGGAGAGTTACGGTAACCGAAAAATCTGTTTTCATAAAAATTTATTCATGCGTGTTAATGCTTGTGTACAGTTATATATGATGGAGATAAAAATAACTTCATCATTGTTTTTACCATTTGAAAAAAAAGTGTATATTGTATGGACTATATAGTTCTATTCATTGCTTGCTTCCTTACAAAGAGCTACTTCCTTTAAAAACTGGTTACATCTTTACTCTATTTTCCATCTTTGGGATGATACTAAAGGTGTTTTCTTCTGGTTCTGTAGCAAAAAAAAAACTTTACTTGTTTTGTCCTTTAATCTTGAGTAAAAAAAGTTCTAGAGATCTAATTTTTGATAACATAACCTAATTGCCAGGCACGCTCTGCCACTCAAAGCGTAAGATCATTTATTCGTTTTGTTTTGTGTTCACGTTTTAATAATAGTTCATGCCGTTATGAACTGTTTGTTTCTCCCTAACTTCTAATTTTTGTTTTAATTTCATCTCATTTTGGTTTTTATTTTCCCCTCCCTCCCTCCCCCTCTGTAATAGTTGTACAGAAACATCAGGAACACCCACTTATGTTGTTGTTCGTTAATCCTTAGTGTAGAAGTGTTTGTCATTTCAGTGAAGGTTTGTTGCCTAGTACGTGTTCACAGTGGCACTGTTGAAGGGTTAGTGTTCTGCGCTCCTTGGCTCGTAACAAGAACCACTACTTGTTTTATTAGTTATATACCGCCTGACTAATACAGTGCAGATGCTATTTTGTGTACAAATAAACAAAACAAAAAATCAGATGAAGATTGAGAGACTGGCAATACATGTTGTCTGTGTTTTTTTTTTACCTCCCCTCTTTTTCTGGTCCTGTTCAATACTGAGAAGACTATGTTCAAGAGTGAATCCACACTCTCATGTGAAGGAGGTTTGACATTCATTATATTGCTAACTTATGCCAAGTTAATGCCTCTATTGTCAAAAATTTCTATTTTGGATAGTTGGGACAATGATTATCAAATACCGGTACTGCCTACTATGTATTGTATACAGTTGAGGTAATGCATGGAGAGTCTGATGCGTCTATGACCCCGATCTTTGGACAATGACATGCCAAGCTGAAACGTAAATCAGACTTAACCCACCAGACTATATGAAGAACAGATTGTAATTTTAATTTGTAATCTTTCACATAATCTGTGCCGAATAAGTTCAATGCCGACAAATTACTTGGTTATTTACAGTATGTTTACCGATGAAAGTTCATGACCAGAACAGTAAAAAAGCTGACAGTGTCGCTCGTCGATTTTGTTTCAAAATGTAGCAACATTATTTTGGATAACCGTTATTTTCCATACATCCGTAATCCTTCTATCAATTCGATCATGAAAAAATTATTATTTTTGGGAGTGGCCAATTTATAAGAAAAACAGAAATTATTTGTTGGAGTGGTCGAATTATAAGGGTATAAATTCCAGTAACTGAACTGCAGGATTGAGAACAAAAAAGAAACTACCACTTCATGAAGTGCCCCATTTCCTGTGAGTGGCCGAACTAAGAGAAAAAAACAAAAAATATTTTTGCAGACAAAATTAGGTGGTCCAACTAATAGAGGGGTCGATTTGATAGAAGGATTATTACGGTAGATGTGCGAAGTAGAAGATTCATTTGCAAGTAAGCATGTGATTATAAATCCCACTGAAAACCATGCAAACAAAACATCGGATACTGACGTCCTGGTGGGTGCGCTTCTATTAAAACCAAAATAAACAACAAAATCGGCTTGTATGCGCTTCTATTGGAGATGCGCTTCCAATAGAGCAAATACGGTACTTGTGTTCTTTAATGATGAATATTCAAAGGGATTTCTGAAAATGACACATTGAAATATTATGTGAAGCACACTATTTAGCTAGACCCAAATGTACATCCTGATAGATGAGATCTTTTGCCTTTCAGTGACCATCCTCCAGTTAGCCAGATTGGAAGAGGTACTTAAACACCAGCACCTGAAGGCTGCTTTTACTATGCCAAACTGAGGGAGCAACCAGGAACATTTTTGTGCTTCAGACTTGGCTGTAATGTTGTCATCTGGCTTCTTGTCAGTGAGAAGGTTTTCTTCTTCATTCAGAGCAATAATGATAGTCAGTCAAGCTACTTGGATGAAATAGTCTTTGGAAATAGTTTCATCATTTGGGTGTCCAAACAACCAGGTTTGGTTGAACTGCTTTGCTATCTCCCCTGGTCCCGATGAATATCCACATGGCTGCCTGACAGAAACGCAATGTTTGGCCAATAGTTTGTGTGTGGTGAACCTCGTGTCCGGGGTCAACCTAAAAAAGCTTTGACCAGCTAAGAGGTATCCCTGAGTTAACTGGCAGAGGCATCACCAATGAACATCAGGATAACTTTCATCCTGTGGTTGTGGACATTGAGGTTCCAAAATGTGTCACTCGTATCTCAAGATTGATGTTGGAGATGTAGCTAGCAGCCGCAGCAGCATCATCAACTGGCTTTGATCCCATGACCAATGTCGTCAAACATCAGCTCATACTTGAGACGATCCCCAAGTTTGCTCTGGAAGAAGGGCTCCTGCAACAAAAGGAGTTCAAAGTCTACTTGGATGTGGAGGTGGGTAATATAGGCATTGGGTCACAGTGCTGTTGCCATTCCCTGTGCCAATACCTAGTTTGGTAGTATACTTGAGAGTTATGCTGTCAATGTCTATTGTTACTGGGCAGTCCTTGGCTTGGTTGGTTTCAGCAGTGGTAGTCAAAGTCATTGATGCTCATTGCCACAGATCTTCATTATGGTCTTCTTTATCATGGCACACCCCAGGATTTGCACCACAGTCAAATTGTCGTCAGTGGACTCCAGGCTGATTGAAAACGACAAATGGGCAGTCCCTTGAGCAATGACATCATATTCCCCAGAAGGAAAACCAAAGTATCTGCTGGTTCTTGTAAATAAAGCTTGAGTTACTCGTAACAGTGTTTGATTGGCACACACATTTTGCCCAAGGGTTAGAGTTAGTCTTGTGACCATACTCAGTCATAGTATTGAACATTGGTCATTTCTCTAATTATACCTCCTATATTCAATAATTTTTTTCTTTTGTCATCCCACCCACAAACCCGATGTCATTGAGATTGTGATGGTGAAGAGGCCTTTGATGTCTACTCTACCAGGCCAGATAGTAAGGTTGAGAAAAATAGTACCATGACTGGCCAGAGCATGCAGGCACATTGCCTCCAGAGTTGGCCATGCAAGAGTTCCTGAATACAGATGTTGAGTTTTTTCAATGTCATGATCAGAAAATGTCAAATACTGCTCTACCACGAGTAACCAATTAAACGAGTATTAACAGCTTACCCTGGTTTCAGTCTAGTTAAAAGGTGATGGCAAACCTCTGGAGCTGACAACAATAGCCTCTCAACCAGGTGAGGGAAAGGCAGTCTAAGAAAAGTTTGGGTTTGCTGATTGGGCCATCATGAAAGCCGCGTCCTTTAAAGTAATTGCTGATCTAGGGAAACTTTAGGCTCAAAGTTGCTTGAGCAAGACTTTGGGGCTGTCACAGATGTTATTGTGAAGGTGGTGGACACCCCCACAATGAGATTCTCGGACTTGATTCTCCACTAAACCTCTGTGAGCTTCAAAGGATGGACAAAACCATGCAGCACTAGTGGTTGTAGTTTATTGCTCATGTGCTCCTTCAGTTTGAGTTTCGGTTATTGTTGTTTGCATTAAACTCATTTCCTACCATTCACTGATGTTTACCTGGCATAGTGACAGTGATGAGTCAAACTTCTTTGCTCAAATTGACACCAAAGAGGTTTAGTAATCCATCTCATTAGTCATTGCTGAACTCGCTTTTACTTTAGTGGTAGGAAGTTGAGTTTCCAGTAGTCAAGTTTAATAAACTGCATTTCATGGCATACAATGTGCGTACATCACATCATTTGAAAACATGCTGCCATTATCTACAAGACATCTCATATCATAATTTTTCTACATTTCTCAATGGAAACTCATAATTGACTTCACTTCACTGACGATGGGAAAGCTATATCAGAGCAGAAATAGCTTACAGCCCAACAAATGATGCACCTTGTGTCAATTAGGTCAAATTTATTGGCTATTTATTGGCCTGTTATTTTGTGTAGTACTAATATAATGGCCTCTGCGTCCATACCATCAATCTGGCAAGCTATCAGATTACATTATGGTTTCCAAACTTCAGATTCACTTTTCCTAGACTTTAATAATATTGAATTACAAGTCGTCAAATGTGTAAGGATCTTTACCAGCACCTAGTTTCATTCACAGAAGATAATTTATTACACTGAGATCGATATAAACATCAAAGAGAAACGACAACCATTGATGAAGAACTCACACCCTCATATCTACATGGTTACATCTCTGCATCCAGAACTTCCTAATTTAGTCAAACAGCAATATTGTGCAGAGTTATGCTCAAAAACTCATTAAAGCTAGACTCTAGACTCGTGACTCGTTTATGCATGAAGGTCACTCTACAGCCAGCTGTTGCAAAGCTTCTACAGTCAGTTCCAAAACAGTGTTTTAGTTCCATAATACAAAAGCAGCTGGTTGTTCTAAATACCAAATTTTTCTGAGCACCTGCAAATTCCTACTCAATGAACACCAATCATAACTGGTCAAACTTGCTATGTAGAAGACCAAGATCACAGTGATGAGTGGGACCCCAACTAATGTGACAATCCTGATCAATTAAATAACACAATTGTCAACACTAAGTTAAAGCTTTGTTCAGCACCACTCCATAAACGCAGGAGTTAAAAGTAACATGGTTAAGGCATCAGCTGCAAAGT